GTACAGATGCATAGTTTGCAATTTTTCCTATTCTGTAGGTTATTTCTTTACTCTGTTGATAATTTCTTTTGCTGTGCAGAAGTTCTTAAGTTTAATTAGATCCCATTTGTCAGTTTTTCCTTTTGTTGACATTGCTTTTGGCATCATTGTCATGAAACCTTTGCCCATTCCTATATCCCAAATGGTATTGCCTAGGTTGTGTTCCAGGGTTTTTATATTTTTGCATTTTACATTTAAGTCTTTAATCCATCTTGAATTGGTTTTTGTATATGGTGTAAGAAAAGGGTCCAGTTCAGTCTTCTGCATACAGCTTGCGGGTTATCCTACCTCCATTTATTGAATAGGAAGGGAGTCCTTTCCCCATTGTTTGTTTTTGACAGCTTTGTCAAAGATCAGATGGTTGTAGGTGTGCAGCCTTATTTCTGGGCTCTGTATTCTGTTCCATTGGTCTATGTGTCTGTTTTTGTACCAATACCATGCTGTTATTGTTGCCCTGAGTACAGTTTGAAGTTGGGTAATGTGAGACTTCCAGCTTTGTTCTTTTTGCTTAGGATTGCCTTGGCTATTTGGGCTCTTTTTCGGTTCCATATGAATTTTAAAATAGTTTTTTCTAGTTCTGTAAAGAATGTCATTCATAGTTTGATAGGAGTAGCATTGAACGTATAAATTGCTTTGGGTAGTATGGCCATTTTAGTGATGTTCATTTTCTTATCCGTGAGGATGGAATGTTTTTCCATTTGTTTGTGTCGTTTCTGATTTCTCTTTGTAGATCTCTTTCACCTACTTGGTTAGCTGTATTCCTAAGTAGTTTATTCTTTTTGTAGCAATTGTGAATGGGATTGTGTTCCTGATTTGGCCCTTGGCTTGGCTGTTGTTGGTGTATAAGAATGCTAGTTATTTTTGTAGATTGATTTTGTATCCTGAAACTTTGCTGAAGTTGTTTATCAGCTGAAGGGGCTTTTGGACCAAGACTATGGGGTTTTCTAGATATAGGATCAGGTCATCTGCAAACAAGGATAGTTTGTCTTTTTCTCTTCCTACTTGGATGCCCTTTATTTCTTTCTCCTGCCTGATTGCTTTGACCAGGACTTCCAATACTATGGTGAATAGGAGTAGTGAGAGAGGGCATCCTTATCTTGTGCTGGTTTTCAAAGGGAACATTTCCAGCTTTTCCCCATTCATTGATGTTGGCTGTGGGTCTGTCATAGATGGCTTTTACTATTTTGAGGTATATTCCTTCAGTACCTAGTTTATTGAGATTTTTTTTTTAACATGAATGAATGTTGAATTTTATCAAAAGCCTTTTCTTAATCTATTGAGAAAATTATGTGGTTTTTGTCCTTAGTTCTGTTTATGTGATGAATCACATTTATTGATTTGCATATATTGAACCAGCCTTCCATCCAGGGAGGAAGCCTACTTGATCATAGTGTATTAACTTTTTGATGTGCTGCTGGATTTGGCTTGCAAGTATTTTGATAAGGATTTTTGCATCAATGTTCATCAAAGATATTGGCCTGAAGTTTCGTTTTTTTGTTGTCTCTTCCAGGTTTTGGAATCAGGATGATACAGGCCTCATAGAATGAGTTGAGGAGGAGTCCTTCTTCCTCAACTTTTTGGAATAGTTTCAGTAGGAATGGTACCTGCTCTTCTTTGTACATCTGGTAGAATTTGTCTATGAATCTGTATGGTCCCAGTCTTTTTTTGGTTGGTAGGCCTTTTTTTTTTTTTTTTCTTGAGACAGAGTCTTACGCTTGTTGCCCAGGCTGGAGTGCAGTGGTGCAGTCTCGGCTTTGCAACCTCCGCCTCCTGGGTTCAAGCGATTCTCCTGCCTCAGGATCCTGAGTAGCTGGGACTACAGGTGCGCGCCACCACGCCCAGCTAATTTTTGTATTTTTAGTAGAGACGCGGTTTTACCATGTTGGTTTTACCAGGTTTTACCAGGATGGTCTCGATCTCTTGACCTCGTGATCTGCCCGCGTTGGCCTCACAAAGTACTGGGATTACAGGCATGAGCCACTGCGCCTGGCTGCTTGGCAGACTTTTTATTACTGACTCAATTTTGGAGTTCATTACTGGTCTGCTCAGGGAATCATTTTCTTCCTGGTTCAGTCTTGAGAGGGCGTATGTGTCCAGGAATTTATCTATCTCCTCAAGGTTTTCTAGTTTGTGTGCATAGAGGTGTTCATAGTAGTTTCTGATGCTTGCTTTTTTATTTTTTTGAGATGGAGTCTCACACTGTTCCCCAGGCTGGAGTGCAGTGGCGATCTCGGCTCACTGCAGGCTCTGCCTCCTGAGTTCACGCCATTCTCCTGCCTCAGCCTCCTGAGCAGTTGGGACTACAGGCACCTGCCACCACGCCCGGCTAATTTTTTGTATTTTTAGTAGAGACAGGGTTTCACTGTGTTAACCAGGGTGGTCTCAATCTCCTGACCTCGTGATCTGCCCACCTTGGCCTCCCAAAGTGCTGGGATTACAGCCACTGTGCCTGGCCTCCGATGCTTATTTTTATTTCTGTCGGGTCAGTGGTAACATCCCCTTTGTCATTTCTAGTTGTGTTTATTGGAATTGTCTCCCTTTTTTCTTTATTAGTCTACTAGCAGGCTATCTTATTAATTTTTTAAAATAACCAACTCCTAGATTCATTGACCTTTTGAATGGTTTATGGTTTGCTCTTGCTTCTCTAATTTTTTTCAGTTATGATGTTGAGTTGTTAATTTGAGATCTAACTTAACTGATATAGGCATTTAGTGCTATGCATTTCCCTTTTAACCACAGCCTTAGCTGTGTCCCAGAGATTCTTCTGTTTTTATCTTTGTTCTCATTAGTTTCAAAGAACTTCTTGACTTCTACCTTAATTTCATTATTTACCCAAAAGTCATTCAGGAGCAGGTGGTTTAATTTCCATGTAATTGCATGGTTTTGAGCGATTATTTTAGTCTTGACTTCTATTGTTATTGCACTGTGGTCCAAGAGTGTGTTTTGTATGATTTCAGTTCTTTTGCATTTGCTGAGGATCATTTTATGTCCGATTGTGTGGTCAGTTTTAGAGTAGGTGCCATGTGGCAAGGAGAATAATATATTGTCTGTTATTTTGGGATGGAGAGTTTTGTAGAGGTCTATTAGATCCATTTGGTCCAATGTTGAGTTCAGGTCCTGAATATCTTTGTTAATTTTCTGCCTCACTGTTCTGTCTAATATTGTCAGTGGAGTGTTGAAGTTTCCAACTGTTATTGTATGGGAGTCTAAGTCTCTGTAGGTCTCTAAGAACATGCTTTATGAATTTGGGTGCTCCTGTGTTGGGTGCATGCATATTTAGGATAGTTAGGTATTCCTGTTGAATTGAACCCTTTACCATTATGTAATGCCCTTCTTTGTTTTTTTAAATCTTTATTGTTTTAAAGTCTGTTTTGTCTGAAATTAGGGTTATAATCTCTACTTTTTTCTTTTTTCTATTTGCATGGTGATTTTTCTCTATCCCTTTATTTTGAGCCTGTGGGTGTCACTATGTGTGAGATGGGTCTCTTAAGACAGCAGCATACTATCATTAGGTCTTGCTTTTTTATCCAGCTTGCCACTTTGTCTTTTTTTTTTTTTTCCAAGACAGATTCTCACTCTGTTGCTCAGGCTGGCTGGAGTACAGTGGCACAATCCTGGCTCACTGTAACCTCCACATCCCAGTTTCAAGCAATTCTCATGTCTCAAGCTCTTGAGTAGCTGGGATTACAGGCATGTGCCACCATGCCCAGCTAATTGTTGGTATTTTTAGTAGAGACAGGCTTCACTATGTTGGCCAGGCTGGTCTTAAATTCCTGGCCTTAGTGATCTGCCCACCATGAGCCACCATGCCCAGCCTCTTTGTCTTTTAAATGGGGGCATTTAGCCTGTTTACATTCAAGGTTAGTACTGATAGGTGTGGATTTGATCTTGTA